GATGACACACATTTTCCTTTCATTATTGTGTTCTGTGGCGCAGAGAGCGCTAATACTAACACACGCCAATAACTTTAGCATCAACATTCATGCTTATTTTAATACAGTATCCAGGACAACTAACAAGCATCTGCTGTCAGGATTCCAGGAATGGTTCTTTTTTTGTACCTTTCTATCTCTGTCCTCACGCTTGAATTGATATTTTGACCTGCATATTTTAAAGAGACAGGTAGCTATTAAAGCGTGTTTGTTGAAGCTGACTCATTGGCAGGGAGAATGTGTTAGGGAAGGGTTGTTTTTGAGGGTGGAGATGTAGAGGAATGTATCTTAAGGTCTGTGTTTGACTTTCTGGGAATTCACCAGCCTACTTGGCGAAACGTTTGAAGAATATGCGTAATGTACATTGTTTTTATTGGGGATTAGTCAGAGTTCCCTGGTGTCTGCAGAATGTGTTTGGCTGATAGCAAACAATGTGGTACTGAGAGCTCAGGTTTCATTGTGTTCTAATCAAAGGAGCTTTTTCATGTTTTAGAACGTCGGGGTTATGGACTTATTCGTAATTGTTGATTTGGCGAAAAACCTCACGGAAGACGAGTGACGGGTAATTTAGATAAATGGCCCTGTAAACTCCCACCACAAGCTTGGGCACGTTCGAGAATCATCTTTAAACAAGCATTATGAGATGTTTATCTGAAGTTATGCACTATAATTGTAATGTAACATATACTATTTTTTTTTTATTATTGAAAATACCTTTCAATTTTCAATTAGTATTTATACACTGTTCTCACTTTATCTGTCTCCCTGGGCTTTTTGTTTTGTCTTGTAACTTGACATTCTGTCCTTTTGTGAAATAATGAAAAAGTCGAGCGCCTGAATTTCGCTCCATCTCACCAAAACAAAGCTTCTGTTCAAAAATGGTTTTGATTGATGTCACAGATGCTCAAACCACGTTTTATAGAACAAAAATATCATGAATTATTAAAACTCAGGGGCGTTTTACCACATACGCCTGTGTTTTATGTTTAATTGGTCCTCTTTGGCAGCGGCGAGTGCTGGAGAGGTGTTATGTAAATATATTCCCACAGAGGCCCATTTGACATTTTGTGGAGCACTTGAGTAGTATATGGAGAGCAAACTGACAAAGGGAAAATGTCCAATCTGATGAGACTTGTTAGGATTGCTCAAGCAGATTTAAGTCTGTTGGTTTTGCGACTAGTCAGCACCTACCTATATGTGTAGTACTTATAAAGCACATATTAATGCCTTATTCATGATCATATTGTACATCTCTTAATCCTATCCAATTCCTAAACTCAACAACTAGCTTACTAACTATTAATAAGCAGTAATTAGGAGTTTATTGAGGCAAAAGTCGTAGTTAATAGTTAGTTAATCGTGAGAATTGGACCCTAATCTAAAGTGTGA